AGAGGGCTCCGTGGGGTGCAGAATTTGAGCCGGAGACTGAAGCCCAGGCTGGACTTTAAAATGTGGACACACTGAGAGGATGGTATGCCAGGGAGAGCAAATCCATGCTCACGGGTCTGAAATAAACACTGTTCTTTCAGGTTCAAGTTTTGAAACTGCTTGTGAACTTGTCTGAAAATCCAGCCATGGCAGACGGACTACTTAGTGCCCAGGTAAATAGCTAATATACGTATTTTATAACTATATAAATATATAGATTTGGATGGATCTAGAAAGATTTATCCCAAAGATGTTAACAGAGATTATCTGTGAGGAGCACAGGGTTTTGTTTTGGTTCTTTTTGCCTACACAAATTTCCTAACTTTTCTGTAATGAACCGATTTTACTTTTAAAAAAATCACTTTGGAAGGGGCCTCCCTAACAACCACAAATTGTTCTGTCTCTCCATTTTGGGGTACACGTATGTAACCACATCTCTTCCCCTTGACGTGTTTGTGTCCGCACATCTCCTCACGGGGCACTGAAACACTAGTCCCCAGGACGTGCCACACACCGAGCCCAGCGCCAGAACACCAGTGAGCACACTCGCGCAGCTTATGAGAAAAGACGTAGCAAACGAACACAGTAACTAAAAGCTGAGATAAGTGTTCTGAAGGAAGCGAAGGTGGTGCAGACCATGAACAGGGCTCCACTCCTGTAAGGGAAGGATCTGCTCCTCCCTGCGCCCAGGCCCTGCAGGTTACAGGAGGTGCGACGTGTCCGGGGAACGGAGGGCCGACGGGAGGGCTGAATGATGGACGTTAAAACAGATGTGGGTGTTTTTCCCAAGACTACCTTTTAGAACTCCAAGAAAATAGTATTTTTCAGCTGAAACAGTGAAACCTTTGTTTCCATTAGTGTAAAGCATAAGGGTGCCTAAGATTTTATATTGATGTTAGGCGATATTAGGGATAATTTTCTATGACCCACTTTTTTTAATGTATTCCGTGTACTTTTAAAATGTGAAAATATGCATGAAAAATGTTTCCATGAATCATTAACACAGTTTCCTTTTCCAGGTGGACTCCTCATTCCTTTCCCTCTATAACGGCCACGTGCCAAAGGAGATTCTTCTTCGAGTTCTTACGTTCTCCCAGAATATAAGTAACTGCCTCAAAAAAGAAGGCTGCTTAGCTGTTCAGCCTACTTTCCCTAAAGGTTCCTTGTTTTTCCTGCTATATGGAGAAGAATGTGCCCAGAAAATGAGAGCTTTAGCTGAACACCATGATGCAGACGTGAAGGAAAAGGTAACGGTCCTACCCAGGTTCTGATGGTGGCAGTTTTCATCTTCCAGCTGCCGAATCTAAACAGTAGATCTCACATTTCATCATCAACACAGCTGGACCCTGCCATGGTCTTCTGGTTTATTTTGAACCACTTTATTGATAGCAAATGAATAGAAGAGCTTGTTCTGACATCATTTCATTTCGCCGTTTGCTGAGTTTACTTCAGTTACCTCCTTGATGTGACCAGCCAGTTGCCTTATTTACGAGTAAGCTAACCTCCCGCCCGTCTGAGACCGCATTCTTGTGTGACTGGCTGGCTGGTTCAGGGCTGCTGCAGGAGCGACCTTGGTCTTGTGCTTGTGAGGAGTTGCGCAGACATACCGCTTTCCCCGAGTCTAATCTGAGTCAGACTCGATTCTCGTCCTCACCACGCCCATTGGGTGTGGTGGGCTGGGGCCAATCTGATTGTCTGTCTGTAGGCAACTGGTAAAATCAGTTATCTTAAAAGAAACAAGGAAGCCTGACTGTGCTTATGTGGAAAGGCCTCCAGAAAATGTGGATGTGTTTTTCAAATGAAAACTATGCTTCTATCCAGAGAACAGTTTCTAGAACAATAGCCAGATTCCGGGGAGGGGGACTGAGGAAAGGATGTTTTTATGTATACCACCTTCTACTGTTTGAGTTTTTTTAACCATCAGCATAAATTTTGTAATTTTTTTAAATAAAAAGGAAAAAGGTTTCTACACATTTTCTCTTAATAGTACTTTATTCATTACTTTTCATATTTTACATAGCTGAGATTTTCATACATTGTAAATTTTAGTCATTGTCACAACAGCTTATGGAATAAAAATACTATTAACAGACTTCGGTTCAGCCAGGTATTCTGTAATATTCCAGTTCCTCCCCATCACCATGCCCGGTACGAGGCAAGTCAGTGTGCAGGCCGCAGCTTTCCTGCTCCAGGTATTTAAGGCAAAGCTGTGCGAGTACGTTAGATCTCATTTGTACATACAGGGATTTCCATAGGAAGTCACAAATCCTCAAACAGAAAAGTGTATATTTTCAGGGCTAGCCTGACACAGAAATCAAACTTGCAAGAAGTATTTTTACAGTAGAGAGGTGAAACCCCGGACGTTCCCAGCTGGCTACAGCAGTGGGGGGATAGATGCTGGCTGAGAACACTGCTTAGGCTTGCAGTGCTGACAAAAGTCCTCGTTCCGTGAAAGGCACATTTCTTTATAATGAATTTTTTAATCTGCCTCCTGATTTAATGAAAATATGTAGTCAAATGGGCACCGGATTAGAAAATGGGATTGGGCTCTGATGTGCTTCAACAGCACTGGATTCTAAACCCCATCTCTTGTTTCCTGTTTTTAGTTTGAGTAGCTAATACCATTTCCTGGAGATCAGAGTGTTGAGTCTGAAATGTCAGAATGCTAGAGAAAAAAGGAGAGTCCTTTTTAACTACCCTGATCTTTGTCTGTTGGGGTCAGGGCACATCTTGGTTTTTGTTGGCTGAGACTGCCCGCAGTGCGGGATCCCTGCTCTGGGCAAGGAGGAGCCTCTTTACCACAGGGGCTCGTCCGTAAAACCTGTTGGTGTCTGGGGGATGCCAGCTAATCAGAAGAGCAAAATGAAAGTGATCAGAGACGACGGAGTGAGAGGCATCACCCACACCTCAGACTGAATGAAAGCAAGAGAGTGGATTTGGCTTATTTTTCAAAATTTGGTTTTACTTTTGTATTTAAACCTTGCAAAAAGGTAGCTAAGTGAAAACACGGAAGCCATGCGAAACAAAAGGTCAGCGTAGAAAGAAGGTGAAGGGTAATAGAAACTAAAGCTTGCGATTGGACCTAGGAAAACGCGGCAGGCCCGTTAAGCGGAACTGGAACAAAGTGCTCGGAGACCTGCACTTCCACGGTACACGTGAATGCAGGAATCATGTTAAGGCCATTCATGGAGAAGACAAAGTAAGACGAATTTGGTCTGCTTCACAGAGCAGAGGTAAGAGGCGAATTCTCAACGCAGCATGCCATAGCAGGGAAGGGGACCACACAGGTGAGCGTTAGGACACCAGCCCCCTCCCCCGAGACCTCATCCCCATCAACCTACCAGCTCCATTCCCATCTGCTTGCTAGGATGTTCCTTTGGAGTGAAAAGGTTTAGGGCTGTTCTGTTTTTCTCCTGAAGGTTATGTTACAGGGAAATTGTACTTTAGTGCCCCAAATCACACACATTCACATACATTATTTATACACGTTTCTCCTGGACTGATTTGCGTCTCTAAGATAAAAATGCTAAATTCTGATAAAGATCATTGACACTTATTTTGGCTATCACTCTTTAAATTTACAAAGGAGACAAAGATGTCCTCAGGGTTTCATGTCCTAAATATATATATGCTTGAATCTGCAGCAGCAAGACACTATCAAAAGCAGCAGGAGCCTATTTTCAGCTTTCAGAGCTACCGATCTATATTAGGCAGTGATGTCTTAAGAAATAATGTTCTCTCTTATATTTTCAAAGTGCTTAAAAAAAAAAAAAACTACTTATTCACATTTTTTGGAGGTAGGTCAAAATGTCCTCTTGTTCCACGTGAGGAAACTGAGGCATGGTGAGCACAGGTGACTTACTGCAGGATACACAGAAAATCCGTGGTGGAAACGGGATTAAAACTGAGATTAAGTGGCTAACAGGTGGCGTGCATATATATATGTATGTGAAAATCAATAGATACTGCCTGGGTAGCATTTGCTGTAGAAAACCTATTTTGATTATTTTGTGTAAATAACGTTTGCTTCATGGAGACTGGGGAGCCAGGAGCACAGGAGGGCCTCTAATGTGTCTCGTCGGCTCTGGTGGTAGGTAGAGCAGTCAAGGGCCACAGAGCCCCTATAGGACTAAACTCTGGTCAGCTAATTCCCCAAAACCATTTCTCTCTTAACTGCTAGTGTTCCACACTAGCTTAGTCAAAGTAGAATCGGGCTTAGAGGTCACGCAGTATAAAAATATAAGCCATGTGAATCCTGTAAAACAAACTATATAGACCTTATTGATACATTCATAGTTGGAATAAAGAAAGGAGGTGGGAAAATGAGTAGATGGAGAGAAGATGGAATAGAGAATTAACATTTGAAGAACTGCATTTGTCTTTGTAAAATATTATTTCCTGGAAGCTATCTTTGTGCTTAGCAGGTCTGACTTTTAGATTAAAAATAGAAAATGTCACCAATCATGTCCTCCTAACCAACCCCCTTCCCTGCCCCTTGCCAGCTCTGCTTCTGATTTGGGGATTGTAGATGTAAAACAGAAAATACTCATCCTCTTTTAAAAAAGTAAGTCTTTAAAAATGGGAACTTCGCCCAACCTCTTACGTTTCTATGCTTAAAAAAATAAATCACTGCGCATCTGGCATATAAACTAATCTGACGGAGCAGGGAGGGCTGCTGTAAGCGCGTGAGTGGCGGTGTCCTCACGTCCATTAATGTGAATAGAAAACAGGTTTAGATGTGCGGCCTCAAACCGTCTTGTTAGATAGACTCACCTTGTTAGGAGGCCCTTTACCAGAAGAACAGAAATGAGACCTTAAAATCCATTTTCATAACCTCCGACTTCTACCATTACACTATAATATGAAAAAGAACAAAGTTCCATTGCAATGCTTACACTGTCGAGAGGGTTTTAATTCCCCTTAGCCAATTCACTCAACTCCTGCTTCTCTGTATGGATTGGCAGGCAGAGCAGCAAGCAAGTTACCACGCAAAACAGAACACTAACTCGTTGAAGTTGTTTCTTAAGTATTGGAATTCCTCATGTTCGTGCGTTTGTGAGTCTGTCTGAGCTTTGCGGATACCTTCATCACTGACGGCTCCTGCGCTCACATTTATTCCGAGTTGTCCTCATCAGTATTGAGGTATCTGGATTCTCCATGCTTCAAGACAAAAAAATCTTCCGGCTTAAGTCCGTATCTTCCTAGAGCCTCGCTCAGCTTCACTGGGGGCTCCAAGTAATGCTGGCAAAGGGCAGACGAGGGGAGGGGAGGAATGGAAAAGGATTAACCACGCATATATTTGGGGGATATTTCAGGTAAGAGTTGAGACTAAAATGACCAACATATGGGGCGCATGGGTGGCTCAGTGGCTTAAAGCTTCTGCCTTCGGCTCAGGTCATGATCCCAAAGTCCTGGGATCAAGGTCCACATTGGGCTCTCTGCTCAGTGGGGAGCCGGCTTCCTCCTCCCTCTCAAATTACCCATTTGATCTCTGTCAAATGTGTGAATATAATCTTTAAAAAAATAAGAATAAAATGATCAACATAAGCCTCCTTAACATCCTTTCCATTCAAGCAGCAGCAGCTGAGTCCATCCAGTTTCTGATCTAGAGTCATCACTTTGGCCAGCAGCAATACCAAACTCACCTGTCCAAGTACCGTGAATGTCAAATGTGGTGCCAGCCTAGCCTGAACAGACTAGACTGCACGACAGCCGGTCACTGCTTCACTACATGAAATTCCAGCCTAAATGGAATCAATACCAAAGACAGTATTACAGAATGAGAGGTTACCAAGATCTTTGAAGAGGACAGAAGCTTAGGTTCTGTAAGTCAGAGTGTGTATGTGTAAGCAAACTCTGGAGAAAAGACTTCTGGCTCACAGAAAGAAGGTCGTGCCCCTCAAACCGCCAGCCAGGCATCGACGAGAGCTCTGGTCTCCAGCATATGAGGACCCAGAGGACAGAGCTAAGACAGGTCAAACTTCCTTGTTTCCCCTTCTCCTTTATTCTGAAGTTGTTCTTTTCTCAATTTCAACTAGAAAAGCTGTAAAATGAGAAGTATAAAATAGGAATAAAAAAATCTATCTCTGATCCCATGGACAGTGATGGGTCTGCCTCCACCCGCCAGACAACATCTGATCTCAGAGCGCTGATCTGGAGTAGCCAACATCCGTCCACTCCCAGAGCGATACGGGAATGCTAAGAAACGGGTAAGATGTTACCACACTGCGTAACACAACGTGGGGGGAGAGAGGGAGGGGTGATAAGCACAGCAGATGGAGGTTTAATTTTACATACCACGGGTTAAGAGCAGGTTAAGAGATCCTCTAGGAGAAGGCAGTGTTTGACCCAAGACCTGGCAGAGGACGACACTGGGCTTGGGAAGCAGTTGGGGGAGATGAGTGGGAGGAAAGCTACTGACTGGAGTCAAGGCATAAAGGTCTTTGCCTTTGAGAGTGCTGAGAACAGACGGGAAGGGGCAGAGTGGTAACAGTGCGAGTAGTGAAAAGTAGTCAAGTGTGAAATACTCTGGGGGTGGGTGCACCTGGTTGGCTCAGTCAGTAGAACATGCAGCTCGCTTGATCTTGGGGTCGTGCATTCAAGCCCCATGTTGCGGGGAGAGATTACTACGTATGCTGAAGTTTGAGCTGCCTGCATGTGGGGTGAACAGGACGGGGGACAGGAGAGAAGTCCAGGTTTTGACCTGAGTAACTAGAACCATGTTCCAAGATGTAAAAGAAACAAGTTTGAGGGAAGATCAGAACTCAAGTTTTTAGTGCCTGATGGACATCCAAGTGGAGATGTCAAGCAGGGAGCTGGAGATATAAACATGGATTGTGGAGAAAGAAACATGGGTTAAGGTACAGTGGACCAATGGCCATAAGACTGAAGATATCCCCAATCAAGGGAGTGACCCACTAGAGAAGAGGCCCACAGATGGGGTCAGAGGGCACTTCCTGCTAGGGTGGTGGGGGATGGGGACATGGTGACCCCAAAGAGACAGCCAGTGATGTACTAGGTGTAAGACACACAGGTTGGCTCATACGTATTAGCGACATGATCTTTTCTCCTCCCTCACTGGCTTCTGCATCATGGAAGAAATTGCTAAGATTCCCAATAAAGTGTAACTTTAACAGCTTAAGTCTAAATATTTCCCTTATAAAATTGTTAGTATAAGAGATTCAAAAATGAAATTCTTTCCCACTGAAAAAGGACTTGCTTTGTTAAGTCACACCGTCCCTGCCCCCCTGCAATACACACACACCCGAGTGCTCTACAAGTCTTGGCCAACAACACACTGACGCAATCACCCTACACTAATTGTTTCTTTGCTCAACACTTTAGTAATAGGCTCTAATTTAATGTGGATTTTGATGTTGCCTTCTGAGTTTCTTCACGGGTCAATTGTTGGCTGTTTTGGCCATTGAGAAGGTAACCCTAGAAGAAGGCAAGAAAGCCTTCTGAGTGACTGGTGGCAATCTCATTGTCCAAACACGTTAGTCCCACAAGAGAGGTAAAAATGCCCCATGGCCAAACAGGAGGTATGAATCCAGCAAGACAGCAGATGAGAGAAGTGAAGGGGTAAAGGAAGTGCCCAGCACTCGCCCCATTCATCAAACCACCCAGACATAACCTAGCTTATGTGATGCCTGAAATTAGGTTCCACCAAAACTAGTGAGTTTTTAAAAGTTTTAGTGCTTAAAAACATCACATAGAAATCCCACTCATAATTGCTGACATAGACTAGATGTTGCCATATATACAATTTTAAGTGTTGCCAGGTGAAGGACATCCTCAGTCTGCTATTATAGTAAGTAGCTATTAGAACTACCTCTATGCAAATCATGTTAAAGTGTTTACTCATAGGGTAAATATCCAAAAATTCTTCTTTATAATTTAACAAATTCATAGTTGCCCAGTTTATGCATCTAATGCAAAGTGTGAACATATTCTGAATTGCTAAGATTTATTAATGAGTTTGTTACAGGTTTCATTAAGAAATAAAGATGGTGGTTAGATTTTTAACAGGAAGAATTCCTGGGAGGCTGAATAACACTTAACTCCTGAAGATGGTGGTTTCTATCTTCTCATCTTCCTCATCTCAGGAAAGTAATGGGGAAGATGGTCACGCTCTTCATTTAAAAATCTAGGAGTCATCCTTGATCTTTTTCTTTGAACAGATGTAATAAAATAGTGGGACTTCATCTAAGTCTCTCTGTAGATCATACATAGACACGTGTACCTAGATCTATACCCATGAGCTACATCTATGGAATAAGAAAGCCACCGAATGGTACGGTATGCCACGGGAAACCAGCATCGAATTTCCCCTTCACGTACACGCAGGCACTCTTGTTCTCATTCATTCTCCCTGGCCCTGGGGTCGTTCATTCATTGGCTCCCCGAGAGCGCCTGGCTCAGGGATGCTGCATCACGGGGTGGGAATTTGGCTTTGGGGCAGGAGACGGTGGGCAGGCCAGAAACAGAGCAGAGGTCGTTCCTTCAACAGCCTGAAAACATAGGGTTCCTGCAGCACGGCCGTGGGGTGAGGAAGAGGCCACACGAAGCAAAGGAGAAGATGCCAAGTTCAACCATCCATTTCTAAATTTTGCATAGGGTAGGACCCGAATCCAGGAAAGGAGAAAACGCTGTTTTGCTATCCCTCTGCGTGATCCCAGAACCTTGGTTAATAGCAGAGTTCTAGGACTCACCTACCTTACGGAAAAAATCAGCTCTTCTGCGTTAGTCTAGGAATAAAACCACCATTTATCCCACCACCTGGTACATAGCACCCCGTCACTGCTTCCTGAATGAATAACGTACTCCTAAAAAGTTCCAAGCTGTCCAGCCTCACTTCCCAGATGGCCTTCCATGTCACATCCATACTCTGGCTCAACTACTTCCTCACCATTCTCCTTTGCTTGCTGCCTCTGATCCTATGCTCTGCCCATTTCTCCTCTTGAAATGCCTTCCTACCTTGCCCTCTCACAGGGAAGTTCAGATGTCCCCTCTTCCAGGAAGCCCTCCCTCCCTGATCCTTCCAAATCACTAACAGTCTGTGACTCGTGAGACCACTTTGTCCCACAGCGAAGCACTTCTTTCCACGCCTGTTTTAGAATTACACTCCCTTACACCTTCTGCTAGAACAAAAGACCCCTTGAGGCGGTGGCGGAGTGGGGGGGACATTATGGTTCATTTTTCTATTTCCAAGACTATACATGTATACATGTTTGGTTCTATAAACACATGCTTCAGTGACAGAAATAAGCCCAAAGCACAGCACGTAAGGAGGGTTTTTTCGCTGTATATAAATACCGTTTTACCAGCTAGTGTGATCGATCACCTTACTGCACGAGAGGGCTGCGCACGTGTGATGCCAGTCAGGCCTCTGAGCTCACTGCAGGGGGAGCCAACTCTGGAACCCCCTCGGTCAAGCACATAACCAAAGTGATGTTTACCATGATCAGACTCACCTCATTTGCTAAGGCAAAAGTTCCCCAGTGAATTGCCACAGATTTCCTTGTCTGAACGTCAATGTGAATCCTCACAGCTTCTTCTGGGTCTATGTGCTGGTATTTCATAAACCACCTGATAAAACAGCAATTTATTAATTCTGGCCTTTGGAATACACCCTCAATTCTCATTACTGCTTCATTTAATCAGCCTTGAAACGTTCTGCACAGGAGTGAGAAAGGCAAAAGCCATCTCTTTTAAGTCCACTTTTCTGCTGGAAGACAAGATAAGCAAATCTTAAACACTTGCTAAGTCTCAAGCAAAGCTCCCCTTTGCAAGCCAAGATGTCATTTCACAAGCATTTGATTTTACTGATCATTTATTCTGAAGGTACGTTCTACTCTTAAAGAAGCAGAGTCTTTGCAATCCTGGTATGAATCAAAGAAACTAATGGGTCGAGAGCTAGAAGCCAAAAGCGTGATTCAAGATAACCTGAATAAACTTGCTGAAACCATTGTTTTTTTAGCTTGCTAAAGCAAAAAGCAAACAAAAATTAGTGTAGGATATTTAAAGATTGGGAACAACAACAAAAAAATCAGTTGCTATTCAAGGATGTTATTTAAATACCATACACCATACTGAACCGTGAGGTATAGGATTTAAAGGGAGAGTACCTGCGGGGGGCTACGGGGAGAGTGTGGAAACAGTGTGAGGCTGCCCAAAGTCTAGGGAGAGCAGGGCCCAGAAGGCTGGGGCCTGCACAGAGACCCCAGCTCTACCCCTGCTGGGTGTGTGGAGCTCAAGCCTTCGGCTCCCAGCTCTGCTGCATCGAGACTCACAGACCTGGACTCAACACAGGTGCTTCTGTGTTTCACAGAACACACCACGGACAAGTTCATCGGCAACAGCTAAAGGGTTGTTATTAACTGTTGGGAGCTGCCGAGACCGCTGGGAGCCTGGAAACAAAGCCACTGTGTTCTACTCAACAGCAGGTCAGAGAAGCACTGTTCTGTCCTGCCTCCTGACACTCAGATCCCGGGCAAGATGCAAACAGCTTTTGGTGTTTCTACGGATTTTTTTTTTTTCTTTAAACTCCTATAGCCAATCAAAGCTATGGACATACTCCTTTCCACCCTTCATGTCTATCTGACATAAATTCAGAATTTTTATTTTGATGTGAAAGTTAAAATAAAAACTTAACATCCTGGGGCACTTGGCTGGCTCAGTGGGTGGAACATGTGACTCTCTATCTTGGGGACGTGAGTTCAAGCCCCATGTTGGGCATAGAGCTTACTTAACAACAACAAAACGCAAAACAGAACTTCTTACCAGCTTGCATAGAACATCTGGTGACAGATCCCCACAGGGATACTACTGAAAGCTGCTTGGGGGTAATCATTGTACATTCGGAGAGTACTCAAACTGTGCTGGTAACCTTAGTTCTAAAACTGTTCGTACTGACCAGAGAGATGGATCATGCAGCAGAAGCTACACAGCCTAATTCTTAGAGCAAATACTGTGCTGCTGGCCTCTCCCAGCTTAGTAACAGGACAGCTGCAATGCAAGCAGGAAGGGGGAATTCTGTGAGGGAATTTGTATAGTGAATCTGTACACAATATACCATCACGTATATGGGATCTTTATATATTGTGACACAGGAAAAATCTTCAGAATTACAAATAAGGTATTCTAATATATTAAGAATACCCTGAGGGGTGCCTGAGTGGCTCAGTCAGTTAAGCCTCTGCCTTCCACTCAGGTCATGATCCCAGGGTCCTGGGATCAACCCCTGCATCGGGCTCCCTGCTCAGCGGGGAGCCTGCTTCTTCCTCTCCAACTCCTGCTGCTTGTGTTCCCTCTCTCACTGTGTCTGTCAAATAAATAAAATCTTTAAAATTTTTTTTAAAAAGAGGTGGAAAACCAAAGTTCAAAGACAACTGATTCATAGTAATTTTTATAAAAAATAGGGTAGAAGTATCTAGCGCCTTAAAGACACTAGGGAAAAAAAAGAAAGAAACACTGAAGAAATGGTTTTGGTGAGCTTTTTAAATACAACAAAATCAAATGGAAATAATCAGATTTGCACAGTTCATTTTTGAGTTAGTGTTTCTCCTGCTTGTGGGATTGCCGAAATTAAACGCCATCCTACATACAACTCTGTATCTGTGCCTGTACCGTAGGAAAGAAGACATTTCTTCTACTATTAGTGTTTATTTTCTCTTAACTGGTACCTGTCACCCAGCGTTCGCTGAAATCGAGCTGCATTCTCTGAAATCACCTCTCCTTCCCTGAGCCGGACAATATGAAGAAGAGCACAGGCAGGGCCGGCTCTCCTGGGTCTCCAGTGCCCTGTGACCTTCAACTGCTCTGACTGCAGGCGAGGCAGGTACAGCGGGAACAGCGGGAACAGCCACACTGACGGACACGGGACCAGCGCAAGGGACTCACTGCTCGGATTCCTCGCTTGTTCTCTGCCCAGGGCAGGAGAGCTACAGCCTGGGGACGGGCTCGCCGGACGTGGAGTGGAAGGTGGTTACAGAGAGTTCCCCACGTGACGAACGAGAGCCGGCTTAGCTTTGCTGACTGGCTGATCGGTTTAACCCAAGTCAGAACCGTACCTGAACTTGCAGCTAGGCTGCAGCAATTCTTCAACCCTCGGTCCAGCTTTCCTGGTGACAGGATCTCGGATTCTGAGTCATCACGTAACAGGTGTGACGGACGGAGATACTTGACAAGAACTGAATCTGACCCCCCAACCTCCAAAATCATCACCGGTAACAAACGTCCACCGTAAAAATCACAAACGATACCCCAAATTATCCCGAATTCCAAACTCCTTTAGAGTCAGGCCACCCGTCACGGAGCAGGGCTGCCTCCCCGGGGGGCCCACACACCTGGGTTCATACGCGCCGATGGGAATAGCTGCGAGGTCGAAGGGGCCAAACCGTTTTCCGATCTCTTCGAAAGCCGGGCAATAACCAGTGTCTCCTGCGAAAAAAAACCGACTCCAGGGCCCCAAGACAGACCAGCTGCCCCACAGAACCTTGTTGTCATCCATGAGAGTCCTTTTACACCAGTGCTGTGAAGGAGTGAAGACAAAGGTGACCTGATCGTGGCCGGGGACACAGTTCTCCTCCCACCAGTCCAGCTCGATCACGTTCTCGCAGCCGCACTTCTGCATCCAGTCGAGGAGGCCCAGAGGCACGAACCACCGCAGCTCCGGGCCGAAGCGCTCGTTCAGGGCCAGGACGGAGTTGTAGTCCAGGTGGTCGTAGTGGTTGTGGCTGATGAGGACCGCGTCTATTGGGGGCAGTTCGCTCACGGTGCAGGGCGCACGGCGGAACCGCTTGGGACCCATGCGCTGTGACGGTGACGCGCGAGAGCTGAAGACGGGGTCGGTGAGGAAGATGAGCTCGTCCATTTCCACCATCACCGTGGCATGTCCCAGCCACGTGACCCGCAGGCCGGCCTCCCGCACTCCGGCCTCCTCTGGCTCGTCGATAAAATACGGCTTCAGCACCGGGAGCTCTTTGTCAAGTTCCTATGCAGAGAAAGAAAAGCAGCCGTTGGAGGGGGTTAGAAAAAGGTACATCAGAACAGAGTTTGACATAAATCAGAGAGAAAAGGGCTATTTGGGAGAGAACTGACCTCATTCAGTAAATGTGCTATTTTTGCTTATTGCTTAAAAATGCACATTTCTTTCTGAATCTGACTCCATAAAACCATGACAGTATAAGGTCTCAGTCCCAAATGCAGGAGAGAAAGGGAAAATTAAATTGGCCACTCTGAGCACCGCTGAATGTATTAACCTTCTGAAAAGCTCTCTCCTGTAAGTGCTGGAAGCCAAGCTGGCCGAGCCGTGGTCACTCTGCCACCACCCCTTCACGTGGCCGGTGCCTTTGCTGCGAACACCGGTATCTGAAGCAGCTCAGCCTGGAGGGTCAACAGAACTCACAGCCATTTCTTGGCAGATCTTGTAGCTCAGATAAGAATCGGGACTTTCTGAGCACACAGAGCTCAGAGCAGAGCGCGGTACTGATACCCCGGCGACCCCTACCCCCACCCAGCCCCTGTACAGAGGGCTCACCCCATTCCTCACCCTCAAGGCTTTCCACCACCCAGCAGGCCACAGCAGATTGTGGTCCCTGTGAAAGGATTGCTTTTGGGGGGTAAAGAGATGTAAAAATGCTAACGACGCAAAACAGAAGCATTAATTCCTTCAGTTGATCTACATTTTCTCCTCAGAAGCATTAATTCCTTCAGTTGATCTACATTTTCTCCTCCGATTAAGCGAGAACAAGCAGCGGTTCTGTTTTGGGGTCACAGTCCTGGCTTGTATCAGTGCTTTCAGAATTGTGCTTTGGCGATCTGCTCTACAGCCGGATCGAACTCTCTTACAGGGAGATGCTGTGTGAACCCGGCCATCCTCGTGCCGGAGGGACACTACAGCTCCAACCTCCGTCCCCACCTTCTCATCCACCCCAGAAACATTTCTTTCAAGCCTCAGTAATAGGACAAGCTCTTCTCCAGAGCAACTGGCTTTATTCATTTGACTGCCACTGGGAAACTCTCACCAGTGTCTGCTCTGCTCTGCGCTTGGGCTGGGAAGCAGGGGTAAGTCTCCTGCCGGTGCTGCCCTGGCACGATGGCGCACGTTTCTTAATTGTGGCTTCTCTTCTCTGCCCTAAGAGTCTGTGTGCTCTTCTGTGTTCATCAATCTGATTTTTATTCCTACATCTATTTTCCTAAGTTGCTGCACATCAATTTTGAAGAGTCTGGTATTGGATAATTAAGGAGAAGACAAGATGTGCTACAGCCCAGGAAGGAGGAATGAAGAGCGGGTTGCCAAAGGCATCAGGGACGCGGTGACCTGTGTCAGCTGCTGCAGAACTGATGTGAAGTTCGTGATGCAGAGGAAAGGAAGTCATTTCAGGTGGATAAAATGCCCAAGCAAAGGCCCAGAGCCTAACAGGAACGCGGCATTCGGGGGCACAGGACAATCTATATAGGATCAGAACACAGCCAGGGCCCTGAATGCTACCCAGAGACAGGAAGCATCTTAAAAGGGGGGGAGGGAGGCAGTGCCAGGCTGGCTCAGTCGGCTAAGTGTCCAATTCTTGATTTCGGCTCAGGGCGTGATCTCAGGGCTGGGAGACAGAGCCCAGCTTCTGGCTCTGAGCTCAGCCAGGAGTCTGCTTGCGAGTCTCTCCCTCTGCCCCTCCCCCCACTCGTGCATGCACATACACGCACTCTAATAAATGATTAAAAAAAAAAAAAAGAAGAAGAAGAAGAAGGCTTGTCCCAATTAAGGTTTAAAGGAAACACTTTTAGAGTGCAAATGATGACCCGGGATGTGTCACAAGAGCTGCGGTGACAGATGAAGACCAAACAAAGGAGACAGCAGTGAGACAGGCCAGAGAGGGAAGAGAGCCGAGAGGTCACAGGCGGTGTGAGTGGGAAAAGGCCCATGATGGGGGGAGAGCAGGAGCAGCAGAGGTGGAGGACGACAAAGACGCCTCTTAGCCACTCTACGCCTTAGTCTCCTCATCTGAAAAATGGGTACAGTTGTACCTACACTTCGCTGTTGTGGGGACTGTATCAGCAGTAGCACACTGTAAGCACACTGTATTCTAGATGGGAAAAGAAATCGCAGCCCCAACCACCAGTCAGGCACCAACTTCGACGTTTTTACCGGTTTCCTTTCTCATAGTCACTAATCTAGTTAAGATCCTGGATACTACACAGACACGTTAAAGTCTTCCTCAATGCTCAACTGGCTTCCTGTCAAACTCAATCCCTACCCAAGAGCCACCTCAAAAGCAGCCTACTTCCAGGGTACCACTCTCCCCACCTAGAACAGCTTCACAGGCTCGACTCTACTGATGACCAAAACCCGACTCACCGCCTCAGCCCAGCTGGACGCCCGCCGGTGGACTCCCCCGCTTTCCCTTCCAGCAGTGTTTCACCCAACTCCTGCAGACGGTGTCCCACCTACACGGGGGCTGCTTGAGAGCCCCTCACTATACTGATCCCGCTTCTCAGATTCAAATGCCCTCTCTCTAATCCCATGGAGACCGCAATCGAACTGTGTACCCTTCATGGGGCCAACACGGGGTCTCGACAGGGACAATCACTCCAACCACTGACCCTCCATGCCATTTTGTTCGTGCACCAGCCCGTGGACATTCTGCCCAAACCCTAGCTGAGTGTATAAAGGACGTATCTCATGTCTCACTCAACTTGGAATCAGCCACAGCACCCAGTGCACGGAGCAGTGACGAACACAACACTTGCTCAATAAAATGTGTTGGATGAATGAGTGTAAATTTTTCCAATCGGTTTTCAAAGTTGGTAGTTAGGGTTAGTGAACAAGAACGAATGTTCCATGGTAGCCTTTCAACAATGGAGGAGGAGAGAGGGAGGGAATTAAATAAATAACATTGCATCTGGTACACCCATAACTGGAGGTACAGCTCCTATTAACTACGTCCACTTACAGGGGAGAAAACTATTATGGCACGCACACAAGGTCATGGCAGGCCTTCACACTTACTGCCTCGCACCACTGACTCCTAAGTATGATCTCATTTAATACATATTTTTCTAGAAAACAAGTAACAGTCCAAGGATCTGATAGTAATCCACCTCTTATTCTCCCCTGAGGAGACAAGGAAACTTTTGGAGAGGGCAGGTAATGTACCTTCTCCTGATTCCAGTGACCATTTCATGGGTATATAAATAAGGCAAAACTCATTAAATTATATTTTTTGAACAGGTGGAGCTTGGATTAGGTTATTAAAACCATTTTAAAAATCTTTAGCAGCATCATGTGTTAAAAGGGCATCAAAATATCCATAACAAAATTCCTTGAAAACATTTGCACTTTCTTTTTGCTCTAATTTTAAAAGCCACTTGAAGTTCCCAGTGTCCCATGACCTGCAGACTGGTGGGAGGTAACAAAACCCATGGCACAGAGCTCCTGGCAGCCTCCGCTACCCTCCAAAGGATTAACAGGGAAAAGCGGAAAAAGAAGCCAGTCACCCAGGACCACATAGGTATGATCCTAACTACAGGAAATGTCCACAAGAGACAAGTCCATAGAGACAGAAGGTAGACTGGTGATTTCCAGGGGCTGCAGGGGGGCAAGAGAATTTGGGAGCTGATGACTAGGACATGGGGTTTCTCTGAGGGGTAATAAAAATGTATTAGATGTGGGAACGGTTGCACAACTCTGAATGCGCTGAAAACCACTACAACTGTAGAGTGTGTGAATTAAAGTTCAACAAAGCTATTTTTAAAAGGCCAAGTACTGACAACACATCTGAACTAAGCAATCATACCTTCATGCTTCCTCCTGCATGCAGTTTGTTTCTAAGCCCAGCATAAAAGAACACCTTATTTTAAAGAATCTGATCTCTAGCACCACTGTCCCCTAAAATGCAAAGAAACAGTCTATAACTGAGATTCCAAAAAAGACAAAATAACTTTGTCCTTTTGATCCTCAGAGTCTGAAAAAGCATGCAGAGGGGCACCCAGCTGGTTCATTTGATGGAACTCATGACTCCATCTTGGGGTCGTACGTTCAAGCCCCCTGTTGAATGCAGAGATTATTTAAAAAAATAAAATTTTAGGGGCGCCTGGGTGGCTCTGTGGGTAAGGCCTCTGCCTTCTGCTCAGGTCATGATCCCAGGGGCCTGGGATCAACCCCTGCGTCAGGCTCCCTGCTTGGCAGGGAGCCTGCTTCCTCCTCTCTCTCTGCCTGCCTCTCTGCCTACTTGTGATCTCTGTCTGTCAAATAAATAAATAAAATCTTTAAAATAAATACATAAATAAAGTAAATAAATAAAATTTTACAAAAGCATGTAGATTAGGGATAGAGAAATTCTTGTTTACTTGAAGAAACCAAGTACTCACTTGACATCTTTTTTTACAGGTCAGGACTTTTCTTGGCTGGCCTTCCTCTTTTTAAAGCCGCAAATGGGAAAATCCCTGGGCCCATAGTTAATGGGGACACTAGTTAATGTTTACTTTTCTTGGGGAACTGGAAAAATCCTACCATGCATTCAATGGCTGTTCTTTGCCAGACACTGGAAGTGGGTTCTGTCATCTAACTCTGTGAATCAGATGTCACCGCCATTTTATAGATACCCAGACCAAGGGGAAGGGGTCACTAAGAAACTTGCTGGGGTCACACAGCAAATGCATGCTCAATCAGGAGTGGAATCAAGGCCTTCCTGGCTCTAAAGTCCCTATCTTTTCATTAAACCATAATTCTCTCCATGGCATAATTTAAAACAATGAAACCCATATTCCTATTAATATACTTATTATTTTTAGAGTATATATGTGCAGGAGACAGAAGAGAAAAATTTGATATAAATCTGCTAAAATCGATTTCTTTAAAAAAAATCACATTAAAAGACTTGAGTTAAGCCTTTTCTTCCACCTGAAAGCATATTTTTACTGAGGATACACTATACTTTGTAATTCAGATTTAAATAAACTTTTTCGTATTTATTTTGACAATATCATGTTAACATT